ATCATTGAATTTGATATTGGAAGAGATCGCATTGTTGAAAAGATTAAATTTTTTAAAATATTTAAAAATTATCCATTGTATTCTTAATAAGATTCTGTGAACAACTACTGATAAGTTATGATCGATCGATCAGGATGAATGGCTAACATTCCAATAAGTCTTTATGTTTATCATACTTCTAAACATACTTCCTGTCAGTCTAGATTGTACACGAAGTATTAACAATCATACCAAAAGACATTGACTAACTTAAAAAACTAACTACCCATGAATATAAATGATTCATCAATTTGAATACAGATAGTCAATTTGTGTTAGCCTCCATCAATAAACCATAGTTATTTGAATGAAATCGCAGATATTGTTCAACTCATTGTTATCATATTTTGTTAAATATGCTTAAAACAAGAAATCAGTAGAAAATCATACTGTAGTTCTTGTTTTACTTCACAACGAGTAACAAAGGTCATGTCGGGCAGGTTTTGTGTTGTTACACATTTGAAATCATTAGTCAATCATTATAGACCCAACATTAAAATCATGGAAATCACTGAAGAACGGGGCCCGTTTCGTCCTGGTACTGGACTCATCATTGGCAAACACTGCACCTCGCAGAATTCTGAAGCCGTGAACTTCGTTATTGTGGTCGGTGCAAACACTAAACAAAGTCTACTTTGTTTAAGATTCTTTATGGTATGATTTCTTTAATAATACTCTTACTGACTTATTTCTTGCTTTTTGTGTGATTTCTTCGCCTCACTTTGTTAATTTACAACTTAATCATATTGTTGATATATTTGTAAATATATTTATACAAATTTATAAAAATTCTGTTTGAATATAATAATTAAGCCATAAAATCTAAACAAGAAACTATTTCAATGGCATGTTCTTCCATCCATATGGTTTGTTTCAAATAAAATGAAAGTTATCAATAATTACTAGAATATTATTATTATAGACAAGTAACTGAAATGAAAATGTAACATGTTGTAAAGTCAATGTGATACAGTAATTCCCCCTACACATAACTTCATCAATGTATATGAATGACATTAAGGAAAGTAAACAAATTGTGTAATCTTATACATAATTCTATGTTTTGAATAAATAACAATTATTCTAACTACAGAACAGATGATAAATAATAATAATAATAATAATAATAATAATAATAATAATAATGATAATAATAGTAGTGAAAAATGGAATTCATTCAAAATATGAGATAGAAAACACATGTTGTTCAATATTAAATAAATATGTTGTGTTTTTTTTTAATATTGTTTATGTTTATGCGTATGCTAAGGTGTGTGGATATTTTCAAAATGATAGAAATAATCATGAATTTTAAGGAGAGTGTTAAATTGTTAATGGCGAAATATTACAACTAATGACCGTTTATATTTACCATTTAACCAGCCAGTCCATGAGTCAATTCCAACGTAGAACTTCGTACGTACGTATGTACGTCAGCTCAGGTTGCCATACCACATTAGCACAGAGACGCCACTGTCAGTTGAAATCCCATAGTGGTAGAGATAGTAGACATATTAGCAGTAATGGAGAACATTAGGGTTCGAAGATATGATTCAAGAAGTAGAATTCAGTGAGATAACTTTAGAAAGAGAAAGATGGAGATGATGAGGAATTCAGAAGGTTAGGGCTTGAGAGAACACAAAGAATGGATGCACCTGCGCCACTGCAACTGATTTTGAGTCATGTTGTTCAAGGTCTCTTACCATCGGTGACTATCGTCACGCGGGCCCCAACCACGTAGCCTACATCTATCAACATGACTCAGTCCACTTGTCAGTGACTTCATGCCTTTCTGCCATGTTTTGGTTTGGCCGCCCGTAACTTTCTTCCAACCTATTCCTACACCACACTACACCACATAATAGCCGCCGATGATAACAGTAAAACACGCGAAATAGTATAACCTACTAGTATGAAGGAATTTTTTCACGAATAGACAGGACACACTAAATCGAATGTCAGAGCTAATTTTTGTATACCTTTTGGTGTTACTGATAACTCATAAAACAAGCATGCTATGATCTTTCACTAACGTATACTTTCATTTTATCAATGATCTACACAACATTATGTTAAATTTCATTCACATTACAAGTTCTTTTAAAAAAATATATTATGGTTTTTTGAAAATATCACTTCTTTGAAAGATTAATATTTACTTAATTGAAAATAGCCATTTATGTAGAATGTTATGTAGAATGGATCCTCCTCTGATGTGCAATAATGAAAATGAATAAAACAAAACGATCAATTCGTTGGTGTGAATTGTTAGAGGTCATGTGATTAATTCTGGAAGCGTTGGTCTTTTTTTTTTTGAGAAAATAACATGCATATAAGTGAATTACTAAAAACCTGCTGCAAAATAACAACGATTCTCAAACTGAATCAAAGAGCCATATTAATAAACCATTTAGTTAACAGAATACAACACTACCAAGGTAGTATGTCTTGGAATACAACTAGATTAAATACGTGTATATTCTTCAATAGATATTCAAGTCATAACTTAAAGGTTACCAAACGAAACGCTAACAATATATGACAACAATTCATGTCAGAATCAAATCACGTTAGTTTGTTAAACCACTAACCAAAGTGTAAACTGAACAATTATGAAATAAGGAATTCTAAACATTCTTTTAAAAAATTTTGAAAAAGTTATGATATCTGCATCTATATTCTTCGTAAACATTCTTGCCTACAAGATTGTCCAAGCGATACGATAGGTTTTACTGAGGTATTCTTTTTCGTATCCTCAATATAATTACTCACTTGCACAAAATGACTAAGTTGATGTTAGCCACTACAATTCAGGATATTGAGCGACTACTTTCTTTTTCTTTCGGTATTTATTTTCAATTACTTAATCAGGTTGTTTGAAATCCAGTGTAAATCAACTTACAAACTATGTTCTATTGTAGTATTTTCCTGTATATACGTCAGGATGTTAATAACAGTTCAGGAGTGGTAGTTTAGTGTTATAATTACGAGACCTTGACTACCTGAAGCTGACGAAATTCAATAAAACCTAGAATGCCATTTATTAGCTGACGAAATATCCTCCGCACAGTTAAAAAATCTTACATTGATTTTTATTTACCAACTTTGTCCACCTATTTTGCAGCCAATATATTTGACTGTCAGTTTAATAGACAGTATACTTACTACACAACATTTCGCTCTTTATAACTTTATGTTTGTAGAACTTAGTTTCGTTTCTCAATGGGCTGCTGCGAAATAGTAGCACCGATTTTGACTTATAAATGACTGATAATTGTTTACTGAAGAAGAATCAATAGTTAACTATCACCAGAACAGCAGTTATTAAAAACATATTCATATCGGTACATTTCTGTCTGATGCTACAAAAGCCTGTAATAAATATCTGCGCATAAATTTATCATAAAAATTTAATATTAGGTCTATTTAAATCACTGTCACTAGTTAGATTATCTTTAAGAATACCTAATTGGTGAGTATATGTATATATGTGACAGTTATAGAATCGTAAATAGGTACCTTTGTGCCTGGTTTTAGGTGATTTGAATTCAAAAAAAAAAACTATCCTCATCAATAACAAAACACATGAACGAAAGGTGGCATAAGATTGACATGAAGATAGCTTTTAAAATTTTGTATAGAAATGTTCAAGGATGAATTCTGAGGTTTATAGAACCCCTGGCTTATCGTAAATTCAGACCCCCCTCCTCTTTATGTGTAGTACATAAACAATTTGTCGTAACCTTGAATTTATGGCCTGGGGTAATGTGACAATTTCCTATCTTTTCCATACTATGTTAATTTCTCTGTCCTTTATTCACAATGTTTATAAGAACGTCTATTTAATTGACCTACATGAATTTTCAATTGAAATTGCCTTAACAAGTATATGTGTGATCAGACTGTTTGAAATGTTTAACACAAATACATCAGAACATTTTTCACATCAACTAAGTCTTCTCATTGTTTTATTCATATTTAAAAAAGGACTAAGAGTATTTTTATTTAATTAAGTAAATGACATTTTCCCCTTCATTACAAAAAGGTAAATATAGGCTGCCTGAATGGGGTCCGCGAGACGAAAGTCACCGATAGTTAGAGGAGACCTTGAATGACATGGCTCAAAAATAGGTTTGCAATGGCTCAGGTGCATCCATTCTTTGTGTTCGCACAAATCCTAATCTTCTGGATTCGTCAATACCGCTACCTTTGTCTTTCTAAACTTATCTCACTGAATTATACTTTTTGAATAATACCTGACTACTATTAATACCTTTATTACCTCTACTACTATGGGATTTAAATTGACAATAGCGTCTCTGAGCTAATGTGGTATGGCAATATGAACTGAACTGAACTGAACGTACGAAGTTCTACGTTGTAACTGACTGACAAACAGTCCCAGGATAACTAATTTGTGGTTATAAATGATTTCAAAAGGTGCATAAATGTAGAAAAGCATTTCTAGATTAAATATTTTTATTCATACTAATATAGACCATAAACGAACAGCTGAAAATCCCTAAAAATTCAAATACTGAACTGAGTACTAGTTATTCTAAACTATCCATTGATCAGTTATGTAAGTGCATTGCGAGGATGTTGTGAATATTTTTAAGTTTTATTTGTAACCATGAATCTACCAATGTTAGACCACCATTAGAAACGTGGAAGCACTGGACGGCCGTTTCGTCCTGTTATGGGACTCATCAGCTCAGTGGTCCGATGGTTAGGCGTTCGCCTACAATACCAAAGGTCCTGGGTTCGAATCCTGCGGGGTGCAGGAGTCGTGGACGCGCACTGCTGAGGAGTCCCGCACCAGGACGAAACGGCGGTCCAGCGCTTCCAGGTTTCTAATGGCGGTTTAACATTGATCGATTCATGGTTACAAATAAAATTATGTAAGTGTTCATAAATTAATAACCTATTTTTTTTAAAAAAAACAGTACAATAATAATTACCTGGAAAGTACTAAATGACTGAAAACGAGTCCGACAAAATCTGCATAAATACGGTCGTAAAACAGTTGGTTGTGGTGATGTCGCAGGACTAATCAATTGTTCTGTATTCCCTACTCGTGTTGATGATAATTTATTCTGTTTTGAATTGGTGGAGCATGAATCAGCAATGATCGGTTGCATTTGACTTTCGTGTTGTTGTGGTTGTTGGCTTTGTTCTGTCGTTGAAAATTGCGGAAATATTGATCCCAACAGTTTGAGTGCTGGTAGTAAATTGAAAATTGATGAACTATTATTATTATTATTATTATCATTTACAGTAGTATTATTGGTACTGATAGGAGTACCAGTTGAATTCATCTCTAATTTATTCATCGATGGTGATGTAGACGTGAAATTTTGGCTTAAATGTGTTGATAAATTAGTAAGGACACCGGCAGTAGGAAGATTAGACATTGGTGTTGTCGGCGTGGGGAATGAATTTTGTAATGTATTATGATTGGACGCATTTATCAGTGGATCGGATAATGAAGCGGAACCTGAAGGATTAATACAAATCGGAGGAAATGGTATAGATGATGATGAAGGAAATTTTCTATACATATTACTATGAATACTACTAATAAAGCTCGAATTGTTAGTAGTATCATTATCACAATTGTCTGTGATTGTTTTAACAACAGCATTCAAGGCATTCGTTGAAGAAACAGGGGGAGCACTGACTGAATGTGAACTAACATTAGTGGCAGTATTTGACGTAGGTCCAGTGAACAATGGATTCAAATTCAATGACGACTGAATATTCATAGGACTATTAGCCAATGAAGCATACAACATCAGTAAAAGTTGATTGACAGTGAATGGAAATGGTATTGTTTGTGAATTCATTGGCGATAATCCATTTGTTTGTAATAACATTTGAGAAAATGCATAAAGTGCATTTTTATCTATATTGTTGTTGAAATTCTCCATAGATGTTTGATTATCCAATAATACAGGGAAACAATCATTACGCAGTTCTTCTATAGGAGGATTACATGGTAATTTTAATGAGGAGGAATTATTAGGCAAAATTCCACTAGAACTAGAACTCAACTCTTTCACCATGTCGATATGTTCTTTTTTCTTTTGTGATTGACTAGAATTCTGGTGTTTTTGTTGTTGTTGTTGCTGCTGCTGACTATCTCTGAAATCATTCACTGTATTGAACATTGAACAAGCAGCATTGAATAAGTGAGAATTCGATGGCGCGGCTGACAAATCTAATATATTTGAAGTATTCATTAATCGAGGCAATGCTAGGTCCGATTGTTTAATGCCAAATAAATTTGTAGAAGGAGATAATGTCGCTGAGAAATTGTTATTAGTAGTAGTATTTGCACCAGTCAATGAATCCTTGATAAATTCACATGATCCAACTGGTGTAGTACATTGTCTGTTATTATTAGTATTTTTTAGATTGTTACCACTTTTATTGTTTTGATATTCTTCTGAATTATATTGTTCTAATGTCTTAGGAGTGATATTAACAGGAATGTACTGTAAACCATTGGCTGTCACTAATGGTGCAGCCAATATTAATCCAAATCGATGAGCTACAGATGAAAGTTGAGACAAAGTCCATGCTACATCATTACTGAATGATAGATTATTTACACTTTCAATATTTTGATTCATTGCAGTCATTTCATTGGTATTGATTACAAACGATTCTGATTTGTGTGAATTAGCCGGTAGCTGTGAAAGATACTGAGATGTATATAATTGTTGACAATTTGGACAAAAAAGCACTCTTGGTGTTTGATGCTCACAATGATGATGAGTTTTATTATTATTTTGAATATTGGGCATATTGGAGGATTGTGTAGTAGTAGTAGTAGGAGGGCTTAGATGAATGTCAGAAGAATCATTCGGTGTTTTACAATCAGACAAATGATTAGTTTTCATTTTATTTGATGTTGATGTTGGTTGTTTCACAATTGGGGGTGATAAATTATGATTAATAGATTGATTAGATATGGGAGTATTTAAATTCGACTCATTTGCTTGCATGTCAAAATTGAGACGTGATATCATTGGGAGCATAAAGTAGGCTAATGGATTTTGAAATATTTGAGAAAAATATGTAGTATCATTGATTCCAAATAAGTTTAAAAGTGTAGGATTAATTAAATTACCCATTTGAATTTGATCAATCAGACTGTCATTACGTGTATTCACTGGATTTGATTCGGTGTTATTTTCTGTCACCGTACTACTACTACTATACTTAAAAGCGCATACTGAACTGTTTGAGTTGATGGGGAAATTGAAACCCAGTGAATTACTTCCAAGTGATTGAGATGAATTTTGTCGATGATCTAAAAAAAACAAGTTACAAACATGAAGGCACTTAAGTTACAGCATGAAATCGAATGAATATATAGTGTCTTAATTGCTCAAGTTGTACAACTAACAGCTTACGGAATATCAGGTTGTTCTTATCAGTAATAATAATAGGTAGTCAGATAGCCAGAATAACCATGTACAAAATTACTTTAAAATTGTACATACACTTCATTTAAACTAATTTCTTCGAATGAATAAGTGGTCAATTCACTGAAGCATCAATTTTCAAACAAACAACACTATGGACAGTTGTTAATCTCATTATTTACTAACCATAGAAATAGTTTAATGTTTTACTTTTCGTAAATAAAATGTATGTTTTTTTCTTTAAATGAAGAACTGGAACAATCTTAGTCAGTTCATCACATTTATTTCTAAATTAATTGGTAAATTATAACATTCATAAAGTTCTCGGGGGATGATTTGACTTGAGTTTTACGGGAAGAAATCAGAAACAAAACTTAATTAGCGACGTGCAAACGATTTGTAAAATTTCAAAACGGCTAATCTTAGGAATATGCTGTAGGACGAAGTAGCAAAAATATCATAATTTATTCGGATTGAAAAGGATAACAGTTTATACACTAGTCGTTTGACATAAATATGAATGAACTCTTGAAGCTACTAATAGGGAAGTTATAATCAGTTATGTATTGGAAATGTGATATATCAAGTCAATGATAGCAGATGATGACCTCACAATGTAACAACTTGACTAAGTGGTCAAAAGGAAAAACTAACACACCAACAGTTTCTGAGGTGCCTGATCATTACGTCGAGTCCCATGTGGAGTGGTTGATGTTACAATCTATCCAGTAGTACTTGCTTTTTAATGGTCAGTTTTAAGTATAAGCCTCAGTAGTATCATGTTCATAAAAAGTTTATTCTTCTTAGGTAAGACGATTCTGGAATTTAGTGATCCGATCGCTATTACAAAGCGTTTATTTACAACCTATGAGAAATCGAGCCCCAATGGAAACAAACATCATTGTTTTTAAACATTTGAAATCATCAGTCAATCATTGTTAGACAGTGTTCACTAGTGACTAGATTCGTGAGGAAATCTTCGGAGTTCTGGTTAAGAAGACGTGACCAATGGAGTTCAAACCTGTCGGATGTAGGCAGTTACTACCAAAGACAAATGGGTGAAGTCGCGCAAAATCCGTAGAACAACATTAACACCGTTGGATGCCGGCCCAGTGGTCCGATAGTTAGGCGTTCGCGCACAATACCGAAGGTCCCGGGTTCTAATCCTGCGAGGTGCATTAGTCGTGGATGCACACTGCTGAAGAGTCCCATACCAGGACGAAACGGCCGTCTTTCAGTGCTTCCAGGTTTCTAACGATGGTCTAACAATGATTGATTGATGATTTCAAATGTGTAAAAACACAAAACCTCCAAAACTCTGCCTGAAAACATACATCATTGTAACGACAGTTTTGATATGCTTCGACTTAGACTATGTATATATATATATATACTTTTACAAGCGAAAACTTTTTCTTGCAATTCGTAGTATCCTAGTTTTGATCAATCGATGTAGTCAGCTTTTCTTAAGAGAAACTTTCCTCCTCTTTATTTTCTTTTTTTGAAATTAAAATCATTTAAAAAAAAACACACAATCTAAGGATTTTTTAAACTAAGTTTTTATCTAACTAATATCTAGAAATGGCTATTCTCTTTTGTTTGTCTACTATTTTTCTTCTACCGATTTAAATAGTTTTCACTGTTGGTTTTACTTTAAGAGAAGCAGAAAAAAAAACTTAACAATTTTTACTTTATCAACTAACTAACTCATTTATTGAGCCATTTAAATGTTTCACAAAATTTTATTTTGTGCAGTAAAATTTATGGTAAGATAACTAATCTATCTCTATCTATCTATCTAGCTTGCTATCTATAGTGATCACTCGTTCCAAAGTTGGTCACTCTCTAGCTCTTGGTCTTGGTCTCATCGCGTTGCCCAATTCGTATAATTACTTGCTAACAGCCTTTGATTGTGTATATTGTAGTATATTTCACTATGTTCACACTAAGTACACACACATATACATGTAAGCTTATACACAGACATTGCCTTCACCACATACACACACGCACACATTCATCTTCATGGAAGAAATGAAAAAAAAGTAAAGCGATTGCCATCTGATAACGGATTTATCTAAATAAACAATCTGAGAGAAACGTGAATATATATATATAGAGAGAGAGAGATTAGATAAAACATCATAAGAACAAGAGATAAGTGGAATTGATAAGTGAAGGAAATGAGGCCATGCAAAGATAAGTAGAAAAGATAAGCAACCGAATAGAGAGCGAGATTGAGAGCGAGAGATAGATAGAGAATAAAGGCGAGTCTACAACAAGATTGAGAATTAACACAACAGAAATTATTTTTGGGGTTGGCAGGAGACGACGGATAAATAGATAGATAGTTAGATAGATAGATAGATAGTTAGATAGATAAATAGAAAGACAGGGGAAAAAAACTGAATTAGGGTGGTGTTAGCAATTTGGAAAAAAAATAATCATAGCTAGATCCTAACATTGTACCAAGTCATTTGTAGCCTGTACATGTTAAGTACTGAAGTATTGTTATTTGCATACATATAAACCATAGCAAACGCCTCCCATTATTATTATGATTATCATTATTATTAGTAGTATGAATATGATTATTATCATTACTGATGTTACACTAGTCTCATATATAAAATGTCCTTTATTATATATATA